AAGTTCATTTATTTCACTAATGCAACTTAAAAGGTGAAACTAATATATGAGATAGACTCATTACATGCAAAGCAAGATAATTCAAGCCGTGATTTGTCATAATTGTGATGATTATGGCTTACAGCTCATGAAAACCCCAAGAACCCCAAATCCACAACCTCAAAGTAGATTATTACATGCAATCAATAAAAAAAGGATTGTACATAGAACAATATCGGACCTCTGAAAAGTACAAGCATGCATATGTACTCAGTACTTGGTGTGGGCCCCTTTTGCAACACTTACTGCAATTACTTTTGCACGATATTCTAATTATTCGAGTTTCACCTGTATATACCCTGTTTCATGGAAGATATGCTAGCGTGATATCCACAACCTCAAAGTAGATTATTACATGCAATCAATAAAAAAAGGATTGTACATAGAACAATATCGGACCTCTGAAAAGTACAAGCATGCATATGTACTCAGTACTTGGTGTGGGCCCCTTTTGCAGCACTTACTGTGTTCCCGGCCCCCCCCCCCCCACCTATTTAACCGTTGGAGTATTTAAGCCAATTCCACATGTGGAACTGACTTGTTGATGTCCTAATGAAATTTATGTACAGTTTTTGGACCTTGGGGAGGTAAAATTTGCATTAATTTTCATATATATTTAACAGTCTATAAAACCTATATCCTGTGAGATATTATTTTATTTTTTTTTGTTTCCTACCAAATTAGTTTTGATTCACTTTAAATCAGTGCCTTTTAATGCTTACGGGTGGGGTATTGGACTGTGGGGTTGTGTGAATGGAGAAAGCCGGCATGATTTGGAACAACCAGAGTATGCGGCCATGCAAACTGCGCAAACCTGCTACAGGAATTATTGAAACCAATAGCACTGGAAAGCTGTACTAGACTCAGAATGGGCGGTGTCCGTGGTTGCTTAATTGAAGGTCAACTCCACCCAAATTTTGGCTGAAGTTGGCCTTTAACATCTGGCCCTTCATGCTTCCAACCTAATCAGAGATTTAAAGGAGAACTATGGGGTTAAGGCTTTTCCCCATAGTTCTCCTTAGGGTAACAGGAGGGCACAAACTAGCGTCCTCCCGTCACCCTAGGCTCAGTATACCGCGAGCTGCAGCTCGCGGTATACTGAGACGCCGCAGCTGAAGCGTATCCCGACAATTGTGCTGGGATTGGCCCAACTGCGTGACTGACAGCTGGCTCTGCCTATCTAAAGGCAGAGCCAGCTGTACCCGCCCCTCCCCCGTCCGTTCCGCCAGTCAGCGCTTGCGGATCGGAGCGGGGAGGGGGGAATCCAGCCCCTCCCCTGTCACGGCAAAGCGCCGTGACAGGATCGAGAGGTGAGCGAACGCCGGTATGTGTTCGATCATCTCCCGATCCACTGAGCCGACCTGTGACAGTCTCATGTCACAGGTCGGCTAGAACTATGAGGTGAGTGAAAATCACTCACCTCATAGTTCTCCTTTAAGCCCTGAGGTACCCATCGTTCAGTAAGTTCTGCTTCTGGCTTCTTTGGCAGTATTCACATGACAAGATGCCTAGGCGTTCACATAAAATCACATGCTCTCAGTAGACCGAGGTTCATAAACCTCCGATCCCTTCCTTCTGCTGAGATCACATGATCAGCACCTAGTCTAGTCCCTCCCTTTTAGCTGAGGTCCTATGAACAGCACCTAGGCTAGGCCCTCCTTTCTGTTAAGTTCTCATGACCAGTGTCTATGACAGTCCTTCCCTTTTTAGCTGAGGTCATATGAGCAGTGCCTGGGCCAGTCCTTCCCTTTTAACTGAGATCACATGCCCAGTGCCTAGGGCAGTCCCTCCGTTTTAGCTGAGGTTAGTGCCTAGGCCTTTCAGGGCTACTTTTACCAGTGATTGATTTAAGGAATGGGGTTAGGGGTTATTTTACTCTTGGAATTCTCTATTGGGTCTACCTCTAGACTTGGGAACCAATGTTCAATTGCCCACTACCACCATTACAAGGGAACTCACCTCACCCTCTTATCCATTTCATTTATTTTACATTATGTAGTGTGCAGCATGAGTTGGGTAATGGCTCCATTATTCCACCACTGGAGTCCTCTGGAGATATAAGAAACCAGTAAATGGTTCAGCTCACCCATTGCTGAATTATCAGTTTTGTTTGGGCTTAACCTTTCCCTTTATCTTGCTACCCATCTCTCCCTAAAAACCCCACAAAAGGTACTTTTACAATGATGTAGCAGAGCATGGCATTCCTTTGCCTTTAAACTGTGAAATACAATCGAGCCGTTCTCTATGCAGAGTTTGTCCTGGAACCTGGGAGGCTGCAAGTCTGAGACTTGATCTTGGGAGGAGTACATAGGTCCCATGTGGCTATGGCTGAGGTAGTCCAATAGCCCATCTTAGGATAGGTTGGAAAATTTTCTAAAATCCTCTTTTACAGCTACAGCCAGTATATTTCTTTTATACATTATAATATAGAATAAAGTAAGTGTTTTCTGTAGATGTCTTACTCCTTTTCTACTTTCTGATATTCAGAAGATTTCAGGGTATTGGATGTAAGAGCTAGGACATGTACATTCCAACATAGGATCGGTGATTACATCGGACCATCCATGGTAAATGGAATATCCGCCTTTTGTTGTCAACCACTCCACCTTCCTAAACAAACCATTCACCACTGAAAAATATACCATTGAAAGTGTAGCTTGCTGTGCACTTCGCTTCTACTGCACTGAAATCCCATGCAGTGTTATCAGCTCTGCCCATTTCATCTGTGAACTACAGAATACACAACGATGAGCTGGGGAGGTGTTCTGTAGGCCTAATCGGGAGCAAGCAGCCTAAGGTGACAAGGTTGCTCCTCCATAGATATAGTGCACGGAGTGTAGTCACCGTAGGACAGGAAGTGAGTTACTGACAGGATCACCAGGTGAAAATAAAGGCAACAGGGCCTGAAAGGAAACTAATGCAGCCACCACAATCTAAGGACTGGTAAGCTGCTTTGTGGTAACTTTATGGTTTAGTTACACTCTAATTATTCATGTACTGACACTGAGGTCATTTTGGATGTCATGTTTAAGATCCTGGCCATGTTAATATCGAAAGTAAGATGTGAAGTCCTCTGACCATTGTTTATAGTGGAAATTATGGAACTGCTTTATTATAGCTTGCGTGACAATTTATAGTATTGCACATCTTATTACAGTGATTAATTGTTATTCTGGCCTCTGATTGGACTGTAGTTGGTCAATTTGGCCCCCTTGGCAACATTTTAGTGACTGCAGTGCAGTTGAAGTGTATGCCTGAGCAAAATAAAACAAAAACATTCAGAACATACATGCAATACATGCACAT